GTATAGCCTCCTCCCTGGGGGATGGACAGCAGAGAAGAGGGCGAGGGGACACGTCAGACAGTGTAACATATGACAAAATAATAATTTATGAATTATGAAGGGTTCATTGGGGGAGGGGAAGGGGGTAAATGAGCAGCTGATATTAAGGGCTCAGTAGAAGGCAAATGTTTTGAGAATGATGAGGGCAACAAATGTACATATGTGCTTGGCACAATGGATGCATGTATGGATTGTGATAAGAATTGTACGAGCCCCCAATAAAATGATTTTTAAAATAAAGAAAGAAAGAAAGGAAATTATCACACACAAAAAAGAGTTGTATGAGCCCTAATAAAATGATTTTTTTATTATTTGGTATAATGTAAAATCTCCTTTGGTATAATGTAAAATCTCCAAGAACAGACAAAAATCTGGCGTTTAGTTTGAATCTCATGACTGCTGAAGTTGCCTTTAAAGAGCCCCTGTGTGGTTTGTCTTGTTCTTGATTGAGAATGCAGCCCAAACCAGAATTGGAATTATTGCAATGCCCAGTGGGACCAGGCAAATAAAATTAAATATAGCATCATGAAGATCTAAATTGTACTAGGGTGGAAAGGAGATTTAATACATACTTTTTCTCCAGTGGTTTCTTATTAATTCAAAGCTACTTAAAAAATGTTTAAGAAAAGTTTTGTTATTAAATCTAGTTAAAAAGTAAAAGAAACATTGAATCATTTTTATTTTTCAATTAATTAAATAATCCCTACATTCTGGTTACTCATAAACCAGAGTGGTTGACCTGTAAATCCATAATCGCACCCGTGAAAAGTACTACAGTTATAATAAAGTTACATTCAGTGTACCTATGGAACACAGAGGAGGAAGGCAGGGTGGATACACAGACATAACTATACTTGTAATAACTTTGGTCTTCAGGGTGCAGTAAAGCATCAATGAAACACACTATATTCCTCTGGTTCCTTGAGGCTTCCTCACCCCCCACTATCATGACCCCAGTGCTGCTTCTCACTTCAGACTAGACCAGAACATGTACACAGGTATAGATAAGAGCTGGGAGCTCACGACACAGAATCCAGGAACAGGAGTGGAAATAGTGATACCAGAATGGTAGGGGGAAGAGGGGGAGAGTAGGGAGAAAGGGGAAACAGATCACAATGATCGACACAGAACCATACACCCCTCTCCAGGGAGAAGAACAACAGAAAACATGGGGGAAGGGAGACAGCGGTCGGTGTGAGATGAAAATAACAATAATGTACAATCTATCAGGGGTTTATGAAGGTGGGGTAGGGGGATAAAAAAGAGGAGCTGATACCAAGGGCTCAATAGAAAGTAAATGTCTCATAAACAAGTGTGGTGAAGAAGGCTGATGGTGCCCAGCTATTGAGAGATATAGTGTCTGGGGTCTTAAAGGCTTGAAGGTAAACAAGTGGCCATCTAGCTCAAAAGCAACAAAGTCCACATGGAAGAAGCACACCTGTGTTATCACAAGGTGTTGAAAGGATCGGGTATCAAGCACCAAAGAACAAAAAATCAAATCATTGTGAATGAGGGGGAGTGCGGAGTGGGGACCCAAGGCCCATCTGTAGGCAACTGGACATCCCTTTGCAGAGGGGTAGCGAGGAGGAAACCAGTCACTCAGGGTGCAGTGTAGCATCAATGAG